CATTGTGGGGAACTTCGAGTACAGAAACCACTTCTAACAATGTAGGTCAACAACTATAATACTAATACAAATGATACCAATGTTAATAATAATAGCATAGTATTTATATAATGCTTTAAGGTTCACAAAACACTTTCCATAGTTTATCATATTTGATCCTCATAACTGCCTAAGATGCATCTTCTACAGTTGCCTGGGGCTCTGGAAATCAAGTGACTTGTCCAAGGTCACATAGTGGCAGAGGCAGTGTTTGTACTCAGGTCTTCCCAACTCCAAAGCTAGTCACATTCCATGCTGCTTCCCCATCTGATTAATTTTCCATCACATTGGGAAAGTCACTTAAGTAATAGCTAACCCTTTTCAAGAAGGAAGTAGTCATTCATTCTAATTTGTCAAAACAATAGACACAAGGCAGCTAGGTGGCACAGTTGACAGAGCACCAGCCCTGATATCAGGCAAACCTGAGTTCAAATGGAGCTTCAGACACTTACTAGCTGTGTGACCCTGGGCAAGTCATTTAACCCTGACTGCCTCAAAAAAAAATATAGGTACCCATGCCCTGCCCCACTTCATGAAATACAATCTCAATCAATCCATTACAGAGCACTAAGTAGATGCCTATTATGCCAGCCCCTGCTGGGCACGAGGGCAGAAGTGATGTAGCTCTTGCCCTCAAGGAGCCTGTAGCCAATTGAGAAAGAGAATAGGTACAGATATAATTATATACAAAATGTGTACAAAATAAATGAATAAAAGGTAATTTTGGGTAAAGCCTTAACTCTAATTCTGACATCAAATCCTAACAAGATAATGCTTGTAAAGAAGTGCTTAGCACGGTGCCAGGCCCATAGTAAGTGCTTTATAAATGTTAGTTATTGTTATTATTATTGGGGTAAGGGAATATCTAAGGCAGGAAATAGCATTTAATCTAAGCACTGGTGGAAATGAGGGATTCCAATCGGCAAAGGAAAGGATGCCTGTGATATGTGTTCCAATAAGCGAAGGGGAAGATATCTGTGGGAGGTATCTTAGAAAAAGTACAGCAGACCAGGGTCCTCAAAGGACCATCAGCTGTAGCTACTAAGGAAGGGGTTTGATTATGCTGAATTCAAATAAAATAAAAAACTCCACTGCTGCAGAGGACTAATATATCTCTGCTTGGATAGAAGCTTAGGCAGTGACAGATACCGTATTCCTAAACTCTTTGAAGGGATATGATATTCACACAGTTAAAGAGATGTGGAACAGATGGGCACAGGATCTGCGTGTAAAAATAACAGAGTGGGAGAGCAAATGATTAAACATACTTAAATCCTTCTAGAATCATTGAATTTCAAGTTGGGAGGGAGCATAGAGGCCAACTAATCCAACCTCCCATCAAGTCTGGCAATCCCTTTATAGCACCATGGACAGACGGTAACTCAGCCTTTGCTGGAAAGTTTCTAGTGAACTCCATTTTGGGAGACAGCTCTTATTGTTACAATACAGTTCAAAAGGCATTGATTAGGTACCTAATGTGCCAGGAACTTTACAAATATTGTTTCATTGGACCCTCACAACACTCTTTCGAGGTAGGTGTTGTTGTTATCCTCATTTTACAGCTGAAGAAACCGAGGCAAACAGATCTAGGAGGTGTTTGAGGCCAGATACGAACTCAGGTCTTCCTGACTCCGGGCCCAACCATCTAGCTGCCTCCAAAACAGATGACCATAATTCAGAATATTGCTTCAGTGCCTTCAAAAGCCACAAAAGCGAATGTATTATGCTGTCTCAGAGGTCGTTAACAACAGTCAATAGTCAATAAACATTTATTAAGCAGCATTATATGCCATTAAGTGCTAAGCACTGGAAATACAAATAAGAGAGTGCCTGCCCTCAGGGAGGTTACAATCAAATGGGGAAGATGAAAAGGAAAGTGAAAGGGAAAGTAAAAATGAAAGTGGAGGCCGCTAGCACATATGGGGGGAGGTGGGGGTGCGAGCAACTAATGGACACTGAAGTTAGCTGGAATATTCTGGCCCTCTATAAAGAGAGGTTTGGGGAGGAATTTATCGATCCACCCTCCAATCAGATGGGAGAGGCAATGGAGGATGCCAAGGAGGTGTTGAGTATCAAAGCTGAATCAATCCCCTCGATGAGATTGCAGGTGATGAGCTTATCCTGGGGAAGGCAGGATGCTCAGAGTTAAAACCAAGCAGAACTGATGGAAAAATGGGGCAAATCAGACAAGGCCTCCTCGACAGAACTAGAATGGTTAGGAAGTTCTTTCTTTTTTCTGTATTTATTTAGTATTTTATTTTTCCCCAATTGCATGTAAAAACAATTTTAAGGTTTTTAAAACTCTGAGTTCCAAATCTCTCCCTTCTTCCCTCCCTAATTGAGTAGGCAAGCAATTCGATATAGGTTACACATGTATAGTCATGAAAATATGTCCATAATAGTCATATTGTGAAAGAAAACAGACAAAAAGAAACCTCAAGAAAAATAAACTAAAAAAAAAAAAAAAAAAAGGATGCTCCAATCTGTATTCAAACTCCATCAATTCTTTCCCTGGGGATGGATAGCATTTTTCATCAGAAGTTCTTCAGAGTTCTCTTGGATCATTGTATTGCTGAGAATAGTGAAGTCATTCACAGCCGATCATTTTACAATAATATTGCTATTACTTTGTTAGGAAGTTCTTTCTCATGTTGATTTGAAATCTTCATTTCTGTAACTTAACCCACTGGTCCCACAGAAACTATGTGGAGGATTTGTTGGCATGACAGTCTTCCAAATATTTTCCTTGTATTTCTCCTTGGTCTTCTCTTTTCTAAGCCAAGCACATTGAGTCCCTTTGATTGTTGTGGCATGTTTTCCAGATGCCTCACTAGCATAGTCATCCTCCTCCCTAGAAGCGTGCCTCTTAAAATGGAGCACTCTGAGGTGAAGGCAACACTCCGGATGTGGTCCAGCCAGTGCTGAGTAGATGGGATTGTTTATGAATGCTTGGAGTCTGGCCACCACACTCTGCCTAATACATCAACTTTCCTTAGCAGCCACATCACAGGATTAGATCATATTAAGTTTGCGGTCACTATCCCCCAGTCTTTTTCACAAGTGAACAGCTGCCAAACTAGGTCTCTTCCATCCTGCACTGGTCTAAGGGTGGGATCCAAAACACCCCACCATTTTAGCTTTGACACCTTAGCTAGGTGAGATCATCATCTCAATCAATCAAGTGCTAAAAAGCTTTTAAACTTGAATCATGCTTAGATAATTCAAGGACACTTGGCAACCTCCCTGGGGTCATGTATAATTCATCACTGAAGTTGAGAAGGAATTCAGTCCAGAATCTGGAAAGAGTACAGGAGTCTAGCAGAACCCTTAGAGGAGGAACAACTTCGAGCAGAGGAAGGGTACTCAGTCAGCTCTCCTCCCACTCCACCCCACTTTGGCTGGAGGAAGGCATCCTATTTTCCCCACTGGGGTCTTAAATCCACCTTGAGATCACCTAGTGGCAACGCCTGCATTGGGAGCCAAGGCTGGATGGCTACAGATTCACTGTGCTCACGAGGACTTTCTTAAGCGTTATAAGAATGGGAGAAAAAAACTTTCAGCAGCCAGTGCCTTCACCACATGTCCTCTCTAAGCTTGAGCCCATCCCCCCAGAAATCTCCACTTACTGTGTCAAAGTGTCACAGACTTTGGGAGGGATACTTTGTACCAACAATTCTTAATGCACCGCTGTTGTGAACTGGTCCTTTCTAAAAAACTTTTTAAGGCTGGCTCACTACATGATTCTCCAATGAGTCTTGGGGGGAAGAACACTCTGAGGGATTGAGCCAATGTTCTTTGGAGAATCAGCCTTGCCTCTTAAGGAGGTACCCCTAAAATCCTGGGGGATTAGCCAAACTCAGGATCTAAGATTCGTCAGTAAGAATGAGAGGTGGGATAAGGACCCCCAGAGCCTAAATGGACTACTCAGGCCACAAATGTTGGATTTGACATATCTGTTAAATGAGAAATAATATGGTATAATGGATAACAAACTGGCTTCAGAGCTAAGAAGACCTGGGTTCAAGTCCTGCTTCTGATGCATATTTCTGTGTGATCCAGAGTAACTCACTTAGTCAGGGCTCCAGGTGAACTTGAGAGTCAAGATTTGTGACTCTACACAACTCACAACCTCTCTGGGCTTGTTTCTTCACCTCTAAAATGGGGAGATGGGTAGATCTGATAATGTCTAAGATGCCTTTTAGCTCCAAATCCACTGCCTATGAAGCTGCAAAGTGCTCAAATGACTTCAAATAATCACCATCATGAGGGGGCCAAAGGATTCACAATCAGTCTTCAGCCAGCAAACTTGAACTTCTTAACAACAGCTAACTTGTCTCCAACATTTTAATGTTTTGCAAAGTCCTTTACAGCCATTACCTCCCTTGGCTTTCACAACAAGCCAGTAAGGCAAGCATGATAGGTATTATTTTCCCTCTTGTACAGATGAGGAACTGGAGCCAAAGAGATGAAGCGACCAGCTCAGTGGTCACACAGCTAAGAAGACATCCCGCAAATCTAGGTCTTCCTAACTCTATTCACTATACCACACTGTACCTCCCTGTCAAATGGAGAGAGACGGGAGCCGACAGCAGCAAGCAGTGCTTTACAACACAAACTCATTTGTAAATCACTACGGAGGAGGGAGGCAGAAGATTACAAACAACATTGTCTCATTAAATAATAGAAAGTAGCAAACAAGTCTAGAAAAACAGTTGGCATGAGACCCAACACAGCCAGATCATCCCCAGAGCCCAGATGAAATTGGCAAGAGGGCTACAAATACTGGGAAGATGGAATACGTTTGTCAACATTTCTGTAATGATCCATTTGCATCATCGGTGACAGAGGAACTCTTTCATTTGGACCCTAACAATTCAGTCAGCTGGAACAGCTTTTACAGAAAATGCAGAAGAGTGTCTGGACCAGGGCAGTTACACAGCAAGGAAACCACACTGACGGAATTTCAATAACCACCATTTTAATAACAGGAATAGAGACTGGCCCCATCCATTCATCAGCATAAGGAGTACCCAGTGAGACACTTGCTCTGACAGTGTACGTTGGTATCTTCTCTGAAACTCTTATTCTCAGAGAGCTGGCTGGGATCCCGAGAGGATAACTGACTCACCCAGGGTCACACATTCAGTATATGTCAGAAGTAGGACATAAACATATTCCAGAATTTTGGTAGGGATTAAAGTTAACCTCATTGCCCTAGAGTTGTCAAACCTCATTTGCTTCCCAATTATGACATTGGCCCTTCTCCGGTCTTTTGGCATCTTTCTCATTCTGCACAACCTTTTAGGGGTCATACAGTGCCTCAGCAATCATATCTGCCAGTTTTCAGAAGCTGGTCCACTTTGGTCCAGCGACCTGAAGGCATTATCCTACTATCTCCTTCTTTCTCTGCAGTTCCATTGCCCAATTAACCATTTTAATCCTGTTCTCTCCAGGCACATAACCTCTCAGTGCTCTAGGCAACTCTCTAAGGTGTTAATTTGTACAGGTTATGACTTGCATGGGTCCAGGAAATTACCTCACTGGGGAGTCGGCTATCCCAATGAAACCACTGGTTTCATCCCTATTCCTAGCCCTTACCAGAAAAAAAAAAATCATCCTCCTTGGTAAAGAAAATAGAAGCAACACAAGCTGAGTAGCTCTGCCTTAATGTCCCCCATCATAACTTTATTGTGCCTTTTGCCAGGCTTGTCCTGTTTGCTGAGCGTCTGAGTGCACAATATTGCTGCTTCCTCCCCAGGGCTCTAAACACAATCCTTTCTTCCCCCAATGTCCTCCAGATCAGAGACACAGTTATGTGTGGGAAGTCTCAGGGATGCCATGGGGAAGTTGACTGATGCACCCTTTTCAGTATCGATGGCAGCACTGACTTGCTTAGGGTTCCAGACAGCTGAGATGTAAAGTCCGACATGGCGGAGGCCAGCCAGACATAAAAAAGACACAGAGGAAGGCCTCCAGTAGTTGGATGGCTCCCCTAGGGAGCATCAATGGAAGACGTGAACAGGAATGGCAAAGGATGAGAAGGTAGGGATGAGCTGAGATCTGTACCAGTGGAAAAAACACCCACATTCATGAGGTCACGGATCCATTGAAGTACTGAGATGAGTGCTAGGCACAGAATAGGGACTATAGAGAGTAGTCTTGGAGAGAAGAACATTTAGAATCTAGAGTCTGACATCTCCAACATATTAGACTTGTTCCCCCCCTTTATCATCTCCACACGTGATCTCAGAGGCTTCAAATTAGAAGTCAACAACCCAGTGAGTATGTCCTCCTACAGAAACACAATGCCATTGGGCTCCAAGTCTAGGGAATAGGGCTAGTGTTGGCACCAGAATGAAAAACCTGGCGTGTTCCAAAGAAGGCTGTGCAGAAACTCAGAGATCAGACATCAAAGTGCTGCGATACAGACGATTATGGTAAATCATTCCTTACACTGACAGGACCCTCTACCAAGCCTTCGTTATCATCACCTGAGCCCCAAATGATCCCTGTGAATGAGGGTATGATTATCTCGGAACCTCGGAGCTGTGAGGGGCTTTCTAGTTCAACTCACCCTTGAACAAAAACTCCCTCTATAGAGATAAAAAAAACCAAACCAAACCAAACCAAAACCAACCCTTTTAAACATTTTTCTACATGTGTTATTTGTTTTGATTACACCATTAAACTCAAGCCTGGGCTTCCAGTTTCTGCCTGAAGAACATGCAGGGAACAAGAACACGCTACCCCCACCCCCGGCTGGGGCCATTTCACTCTCATGGTGATTTTTACGGCATGAGGGATTTCAAGCTGGAAGGGACCTTCGCGTCCATCTGGATCAACTCCCCTACTTCAAAGATGAGGAAACTCAAGTCCTGGGAAGAGACTTTCTCAGGATCACATGGATGGTAAGCAGCACAGCCAGACTTTGAACTCGGGTCCTCAGACGCCAGACACAGTCTATGCATCCCAGGGCACAACCTGTGTGGGCTTGGAGCTCCTCCCCAGGTTCTGGAGCCATTCAAAGAAGCTTAAGAGTTGGCAGGGGCCTCAGGGTCCACTTAATCTAGAGTTTCTTATCCAACCTACCCGGAAAGCGGCCTCCCTCCCTGCCATTATTTAAAGACCTCCAGGGAGGGGGGAAGCGGGGTTTACTGCCTTCTGGGACAGCCCATCCCCTTACCGATGGCACTGTTCAATTCATTCATTCCCCCCATCCCTTATGGTAGGACTACACTGGACCGAGGGAGGCAGGGAGAGTAAACTATCGGACAGAAGGGAGGAAGGCCCTGAACCTGAACTAATGAAGTGACTCCTGAAGTTTTGTTTCATGAGCCGATGGGGACTTTGAGCCAGAAACGTCCGGTGGGGACGTGCACTCGCTTAGTCACCATGCACCCACTTTGTGCCAAGCACCGTGCCAGGTGCTGGGAATGCAAAGAACAAAGGCGTCTGAGCTCTCAAAGACCTCACATTCTCCCAGAGGAGACTGCAAGGACATCTCCACACATAAGCCTCTGTGGGAAAGGGGCCGCTGGGAGCATCCTGAAGGAAGAGAGAAAGCCCACGAGGCCAATGTGAGGGCGTGATGGGCAGCGGCCAGTGAGGACATGGCAGGGCGGGTGTGACTAGAGAGAAAGCAAGTTTGGCTGGACTGAAAAGGGCAGGAGGGAAGCAACGTCTGACGAGGCTGCAGAGAAAGGCTGGGCTCAAGTCATAGAAATATAAACATAATATGAAACGAATATACATTGACAAGTTCACACTCCATAGGAAGCCACTGGAACTCATTAAGCAATGAAACGAGGTGCTCTTCTCTGTACTTAAAGCCATTATGTGAGCTGTGCACAGGACAGGATAGAGTGGAGTGGGGAGAGACTTGAGGAAGGGAGGCCAATGAGGAAGACGCCCCAATAACGTAGGTAAGATGCGGTAGCGCTGTTGAGTAGAGGAGATGTGAGAAGAGCAGGTGAAAATGGCAAGGTCGCCCAACATTGGCTGGGTGGGGGGGATCAGGAAGAGAGGCCAGATTAGAGCTCAGTCTGGAGACGTGTACCTGGGGATCCTCAGAGAGGTAGGAGACTCAAAGATAAGGGAGCGAATGCCTTCCCGAGAGTGGATCTGGAGACAAAACTGAGATGTGTGTCTGGAGGAAAATCCACCCCATGCTCCCCTGAGTACTGCAAAGCCTGCCTTCCAGCCAGAGGAACTTCTCACATTCCCCCTCCATTGTTTTTTTTTTTTTTAGGTGTGAAGTCAGAGTCAAAGGGGGTGAGGGGAAGAAGGGAAAGTTCTCTGAGTCCTGTTAAAACTGGGAAATTTTAATAACCTGACTGATAAAGGAACAGAATGGATAGGTGTGACATTTATCAGGTGGAATTATCTCCTACTCACTTACGCCTGTCTCTAAACACATAAGCTTTAATTAAAAGCTGAACAGCCTTAAAAACTGGGGAAGTGTTCCTGGTTTTATTTACATACTGTGTGTCCTCTGAAATAACATAATTAATTCCCTAGTCACTCAGTGCTGATCAGGCAGTCTTTTCCAAAGCAATGGTTCCCTGGGACTTACTAGTTGAAGGTCATCCCCTGCTTTCCTTGGTCATTTTTCCTGCACTGAAAACAAAATTTTGAAAACTTTGCTGCAATAATACATGCTGTCGATTCATGTCACTGCTACTCTGGAGGAGAAGGGATCTGGCAACCCAAGGGCACTGTCACCTGATGATGCTGAAAGGAGGGAAGGGTTCTAGGCTCCCACCAGAGGAAAGTCCCAGAACATCAGCCAACTACATCCAATGCATTAAAGGCACCAGGCTGGGATTCAGGAACCTCGGGCTGTCATTCCAGCTCTGCGGCTGGGCCTCAGTTTCCTCAACTATAAAGAGAGAGAACTGAACAAACCGACCTCTCAACCCCCTTCCAGCTTTCCGGCTCCGTGATTCTGACTACGACCATTGTCCGGTAGAGAACCCTCCTTCTCTAAATTATTTAAGGGATGTCTCATTTGTGGGTTCATCACTGCGAGTTCTAAATCACCAGGAACATGCCCGGAGGAGCAAAGAAGCAGCGATTTGGAAGAGGGCCGACAGTGCATTTTTGTTCCCCTTTTCTACAGGAAGGAAAGGAAACAAGCATTTATTAAGCACTTGCTAAGCTTCGAGGGTTTCCCATGGAGTGCTCAGCTCAGCTCACTGGGCTTGGCGGGCGAAGGCTTTGGGGCAGAGCTGGCACCTTATTTCTCTCAAGGCTCTCACTGAGACACATTCGGAGACAAAGGAACAAACAAAAAACCAACATGGCAGCACAGAAATGGGGCAGAACGAGGTCTCTGGGTCCCTCTTCAGCTGCCCTCCAAGCCCAGGCCCAGGGAGCACTCAACCCGCAAATGGAGGCAGTGTGGCTCACTGGATATGCCGGGCTCACTCAGAAGACTGGGGGTTAGGTCCCGGCTCCACCATTTCCCAGGCGTACAGTGGCACCACCTCAATTTCCTCACCTGTAAAATGGGATGAACCTTACACTGCCTACATCCTAAGAAGGTTGTGAGGCCCCGATGAGATAATCCTGGCTCTAAATCAAGTGTGTGACTGGGAAAATGACCCCACTCCTGTGGGAAGGGTGGTATCTGCATGACAACCTTCTCTGGGCGATTTGGAGAGAGGATTTTTACATACTGTCAAATGCCGGAAAAATGAGATGGGGTCAAACCCTGGGTATTTGTCACGTGCTGTACAAGGGTCAGCTCTCACTACACCTCTGAAGAGTGGACAGCCAGGAACACTGGGGTTCCCACAATTCCAGAGCTTGCCTCCTATGTTACATTCAACACTAGCTAAGGAGCTCTATATCCTCCCAAATCAGAGACCAGAGGCCCCTGAAGGCTTGGCTGTGAAGCCCAGGGTCTGTCAGGGCCTCCCAACTGGGGAAAGCGATGAGGACCGAGTGATGGTGGCCTGCAGGGCTGTCCTCCAAACCCTCGCCTAAATCTGGAGGGGCTTCTCATCAGCCTGGCCAAAGGCTGAACACAGCTAGTCTTGAAAACCCTCTACTGGGACCCAGAGAGGCTTTGATCTAGCTTGGTGAGAAAACAGCCTAAAGCCGTACTCCTCCTCTGAATTGTGGGAACGCTGTGTGTGTGTGTGTGTGTGTGTGTGTGTGTGCGCGCGCGCGCATGTGAAGTGTGTGAGGCTACCCAACTTTCAGGAAGACCTTGCTGTGTGAAACGTCAGTGTAGGCAGACGGGCTCACCACAGGCCTAGGAGTTATCTCCAGGACAGCCACTTGCTGCTGGGGAGTTTTCTTAGGTGCTTAAGGATTCCATTTTCCTCTTTGGCTTTTGTTTTCATTACTGAATAAAGGTTGCACCAAGGACATCAGTGATGAGATACGTCCTGTGGAACCCGTGTGTAAGGGACAAACTGTCTTTTCTGAAGTAAAAAGGAAAAGCTTCAGCCCAGAGGTTAGAAGGTGGAACGGTTTTTGTTTTTTTTGGGGGGGGTGGGGGGGGAGGGAGAGAGAGGCCAACATAAATGTATATGAATCTCTCAGCCAACTAGGAGGCGGGGGATGGGCAGGCTACTTCTTCATCTCCAAGATCGTGCTTCCTGGGCCCCGGCTCTTGGCACTGCAGATATTGCAGAACTGTCCAGCAGAATTCTGAAGACACAATGGAAGAAAACAGATCCATGTAAAAACATGAGAAATAATTTAATCCCCCTCCCACGGAGCGTGGAATAACGTTTCCGGTTTTCTTGATTACATCTGCTGATCTTTGAAATTACTTTTGTACCAACTGGCGTGTTTTTGATGAGCAATTTATTGGAGAAAAACGAACCACTAACAAGACAGGAGAAATAGATATGTACATGCACGTGTGTACGTGTGTATGTATGCATGTATATGTGCACACGTGTATATGCGTGCACGTGGGTATAGCATATGTGACCAGCCTACATGGGCATGACCTGCACGAGAGGCAGCCGGGCTGTGATCCAGGGGCAGATCTTGGAGGTGGGAAGGCCTGTGCTCACTTCCTGTTTGTGAGGCCCGCTGGCCGTATGCCCCTGGTCAGTGCCCCTCTGTGGTCCATTCTTCCCAGGTGCTACATCACAGAAGAGTGGCTCATCCGTGTCAGGGGAGGGAGCGCCCCCACGGACAGAATCACCGCCTCTCGGATCAGCCGAGCCACAGACCCGTCAGCCCCCGTCAGCCAATGTGTCAGGGAAGGCAGCTCCCTCCCCTTCCACATGTCAGACTGCTGACTCAGCAATGGAAGGAATCTTAGAGACCACTGAGCCCAAGTCTCTCATTTTACAAACAAGGAAACTGAGTCCTCAAGAAGTTCAAGGATCACAGAGTCCCGTGAGATCTGAACCTGGGCCTGGCACCCTATCAGCTAAGCCACGATGCTCCCCTGCCCCTGCCCTCTTTCACATACTCCCCAGTATCAGGGGGCATGAGGAAGAGCAGAGGGGTCCCTGCAGCCGCTCCCTCCCACCCCAATGACCGAGGACAGCTCACCATGCTGGGGACGGGCAGACACTCTTTGTGGAACATGTGTCGACAGTGGAAGACGACCACGCTGAAGGGCTTTGCTGCATCTGTTTGGGGGAGAAACACAACTGAGGAGCCAGCCGGGGGCCCTCAGCCTGCCTCCAGCCACAGAGGGGCAGCGGCAGGTCCCACCCGATCCCTCCTTCAGAGCCGGCCAAGGAGCAGAGACTAATGTGGTCTGGAGACGGCCCTGGAGGGCTGTGCCTGGGCCGGGCTTAGATGCCCATCCACAGCTCCCCCAGAGCCCAGCTATTCCAATGGAGGCCTGAGCCAGGCAGCCCATTTCTGCAGGTCACAAAGCGAGAGCAGCATTCTGGACACCAGCCCTGCCCAGGCCCAGGGAAGTCCTCTGGGGCCTTTGCTGCCCTTAGCCCGGGGTGGGGGGGGGCGCCCTGGCCTTCTCTATGTCATGGCCCCTCTGGCAATTTTGTGAAGCCTATGGACCTCTTCTCAGAGAAAAAAAAGCTTGAAAATGCACAAAATGAAATTCACAAGATTACAAAGAAAACCAAAGGGAACTGAAAAGAATGATGTGATTTTTTCCCCCATCCAAGCCCCTGAAATCTGCCCCAGGTCTCCAGCCCCCGCTTCAAGAATCATTCATGTCTGGCTGCACAGGCCCACGCTGCTGGGACGGGAGCCATGAAGGGCCCTGGGGCTCCGGCCCCAGCTGGGGGGGTGCCCCCTCTTGCCTGAAGCCCCACGGCCTCCTCCTGCTGCAGATCCCAGGGTGCCCCTTGCGTCTTCTCTGGGCACTGTCTTGTGTGCCCCATCCAGGTGCCAATCTCCCTGAGGCCGAGGCCCCTGCTTCCCTCTGCACCTCCTGGAGCACGATGCCTTGTACACAGGAGGGGCTTAATAACCGCCTGCAGAATTGCCACGATTCGGGGTAGGTCCAGATGGGGGTCCTGGTTACCTGATCTCTACACTGGAGGTAACTCACAGGACACACCGCACGGCTTTGCTCTTCCTGACCATCACCTGCCCTGTCCACTGCCCGTGACTATGGGTCACCGGAGCAGACAGAGGCGGAGCCGCTTCCTCCGTCCCTCCAGCTCTCAGCTTTCCCGGCCTCCTTCCATTCTCCCGGACCCTCCCCAATCTGCCTGTCCCGCCCTGGGTGGGCACAGAGGAAACACCTCCTAAACACCTGCTGACTGACTGTCGGGTACAGCGGCAGATGTTAAGCTGCCATTTCTGCCCTGCAGCCAATCAATGCACGCCAGTGAAGGAAGGATGAAAGAAATCACAATAGTCTCCGTACTGGGATGGGTCTGGTGACCCGTCTGGCCCCGCTATCATTTTTAACCTAAGCACAGAAAAATGCAGCTTTCTTTCGAGTCTGCTCCAGTCAATTCAATTCACCTCAAAACATTTATTAGACCCCTCAGTGCTAAGTGTTAGGAAAACAAGAGGGGGCATTACAGGGCTGCCTTCTCCCCCAAGCCTCCTGCCCCCGGGAAGTGTGCCCTGGGAAGAAGACTCGGCCTGCTGTGAACAAGCCTGACACAGGGCACATGAGTACGGGGCAAAGGGGAGAGATCTGAGGGCGAGGGAATCTGGGAAGGCTTCCCGGAGGACTCGAGCCTTACACAGGGAGAGACAAGATGGGAGTGCATAGGGTGGGACAGACAGGATCCCTGCTCTGGCTGAGGTAAAGGGGCCGGGAGGGGCCTGAGCAGGGCCTCCCGGGCTGGGCCAAGGCATCTGGGCGGCCCTGGGCTGGTCTACGAAGGAGGACGATGGCGCCGGCAGGCACCTGGTGCCGCCTAAGGTCTCTGAAGAGCTTTGACATCGTCTTTGTGGAAGGGGGGAGGCAGAGGTCGGCTTAGCCTGGAGACACACAGCTCATGCCAGAAGCAGGATCTGCACCCAGGACTTCCTAACTGCAGCCCCCACCCCACCACTGTCCCTGCTGTGGCAGAGAGGGGAAGTGGGAGGAAGGCGGGACCCGGGGTGGCCCCACTCTAGGTGAGAGGAGGTGAAGGCCCAAGAAGGTGGGGGAGCAGAGCGTGCCCAGGACTTGGGGGGCCGAGGGCCGAGGAGGAGGGAGGGGGAGCAGAGCGTGCCCA